ATAAAATCAGAGAGCAAATCTGAGCATGGCAGATGACTTCAGGGGAGGTACGACCCTCTCGAGGCTCCCCCAGCTGACACACCACTAATAATAAAGGTGCTTCTCATCAGCCCTAACTTTCCTGCCACTATCTGGTGGTCTGGGCCGTGACAATTACCGGTGGGAACGTGTGTGTGTGCGCGTGCGTGTTCACGTGCATGTTCGTGAATTGCGGGATCAGAAAGACTTGGCCTCTGGGGGCCTTTCTGGTAGTGCGCACCTGCTGAGGGCCCCGGCTTTGTCGTAGTGCGGCTGAAGAAGGAGGAGAAGAGTCGGCAGGAGCTGGAGAAGCTGAAGCGGAAGCTGGAGGGGGAGGCCAGTGACTTCCACGAGCAGATAGCTGACCTGCAGGCGCAGATTGCGGAGCTCAAGATGCAGCTGGCCAAGAAGGAGGAGGAACTGCAGGTGGCCCTGAGCAGGTAGTATGGCTGGCGGGGCACCGCAGTGGGCCCCGTCCTTCTTCCTCCTCCAGGCAGGCCTCCAGGCTCCGGGGTGCCTCCCCTGTCCTGCTTGCATCTCCAGAACCACGCCACCCACTTTCCTCTCTTTCCTCCAAACTCATCCTCTCTCCACATCTCCCCTCCTCCCGCCGCATCTGCCTCTCGGATGTCCAGGCCCTTCTCATCTGCAGTTGCCCACGGAGTCCGTTCGACCCCGCCCCGCTCTCCTCCCACCCCCAGACTGCAGCAGCCCTCAGATTCTGCCGGTCCTCAGAAACGTGTCTGTGCCCCGTCCCCTGTTGGCCCTTCTCCCAGATCCTGGCTGGGTTCGCACTAACAGCCTCGCACCGGGAATGCAGCGACAACTAACGGGGATTTTCCTGTTCACCGTGTGCCAAGCTCTTCCCAGGCAGTAACTTCAGGCACACACCGGGCCAGGGACCCTGCTGCGATCTCCATGTCACTGAGCAGGAAGCCGGGCTTGGGGCGAGAGGAGGGACCATGAGCTGGGATCTGAGCCCCAGAACTTTCTGACTGGTCCCCTGGCCAGCTCTTTGGCTCCCAGTGTGTGCTGCAGGATGGTGCTAGGGTGATGGGCCAGAAGCATCACCTGGGTTGTGAACCTTCACGGAAGACTTTGCTGGTTTGTGCAGGGAAGGCCAGGCTCCTGTCCTGCACAGCCTGACCCCAACCCGACCATTTAGCTTTCTCTCTTGCTGCTCACCGTTCCCAAGCTCAGTAGGATCGAGGTGCTCACCTCCCCTTGCCCTGAGGGATCTTGCCTCTGGGCCCTCTTTCATGTTGTTCGCTTTCCTTCCACCACAGCAAAGCAAGAGGCCAGCCCCACCGTGCGTCAGGAGGGAGCTGCCTTCCACGAAAGTCCTCACGCACTCCAAGCCATTCAGACAATGCTTCTCACGTCCCACCTTGGCCCACGGTCGCCACGTTCCCCACACGGGGGGGCCCTGGTTTTAATATCTCCCCATGCAGTACCTGGCCAAGTGCTTTGCATGGAGCAGGCACTCAGCCACTGTTTGAGCAAAAGGAAGAAAGAAAAACAAGTAGTTGTTAAGGAGAAATAATTGTCTGTGTTCACAAAGCATCTATTAAGCTCCTGGTGTGAATGAGGCACCTGGGTAGTCTGGGACCAGGCTCTGCTTTCACACACACACACTCACACACTCACACACCACAATCTGTTTTTTGACATCAGACAAGTCCTAATCAGCAAACAGTCCTACCTGGCAAGAAGGGGTCCAATGTGTCTCGGGGACGTGGGTGGAACCTGGTTTGATGTCTACGGAACATGAGTATCTGGTTCCAGGAAACAATCTTGGGCGATGTTGGGAGATCTCAGGGGCCAGAGACCCCCGGGGTCTTCATTCTGGTGATCTGTCCCCGGCAGGCTCGACGATGAAATTGCTCAGAAGAACAATGCTCTGAAGAAGATCCGGGAGCTGGAGGGTCACATCTCAGACCTTCAGGAGGACCTGGACTCAGAACGGGCCGCGAGAAACAAGGCCGAGAAGCAGAAGCGGGACCTGGGAGAGGAGCTGGAAGCGCTGAAGACAGAGCTGGAGGACACGCTGGACAGCACAGCCACCCAGCAGGAGCTTAGGTGGGAGGCCAGCCCGCGGAGCCCATGGCTCCCACCACGTCGCCAGCTGCACGGATGGGGTGGCTGGGGGGGTGGGGAGAGGGGCAGCCCCCAGGCACATCCTGAATCACAGGGCTCCTCAGGTCCTACAGCTACCATCTGTAATAGATCCTTTTTCATCTTATTTTGCATCACGGTAGTAGGACTTACTCAATTCGAGAACAATTTGAAAGCTATAGAAACGTAGACACCAAAAATATCACCCTCAGCCCCAACACAGTGAACGTTTTTGTGTATTCCTTCCTGTCTTCTCATGTGTGTGTCTATGTGTGTCAATAATTCTCCAGGTTCCCGTCTCCAAGAGTGTGTGTTTAAGTTTTGTGATACATGTTTTAAAATAACCTTTGCGGGATGGGTCCTTAAGATTCGCTGGAGGATCACAGATACCAGCACCAAAAAAAAAAAAAACACCCCAAAACAAACACATATACACACACACAAAAAAACAACAAAAACAGGTCACCTGCTAGGTAAAGAATGCTGACTTTAGCAAAAGTAGGTCGCTTATTCATTCAACAAACACACAAATGCATTTGTGTACATCCTGTGCCACATCCTTTGTACGTAGAAGCCAGCACAGAATTCTGCTCCCTCCCCACCTGGCCAATGATCCAGAAACACCCAGTGCAGTATTTGAATGCATGGGCTCAGAGCCAGGCCATGTGGGTTCAGATTCTGGCTCTGTCACACAGTGGTTGTACCAACACAGGCAAACTGCTTACCCTCTCTCAGCCTTAGATTTCTCATCTGTAAATTGGAAGAATTAGTATATCTGCCTTTGAGGGTGACTCTGAAGGGTATATACAATGATGTATATAAAGAACTTAAGTCAGAGCCTGGCATATAGTAAGTGCTCAATAAATAAGAGCTCATCTTAATATTTGAGGAACATTTTGCAATTCACAGATGTTCTTTCAACATGTTCCTGAGTATTCTTGTGTATTGATTTGCTGGCCTTGAGAGTCTCTGGGCAAGTAACCATGCTCCTCATTTTGCAGCCGAGGAACTGCCAGGTCCAGAGAGGTTAGGTGACTTCCCTGAGGTCACCCGGCCAGGGCGGGGCCGCTGATGGGGACCTCAGCTCTGGGTCCCGGGAGAGCTTCTCATTCCTTTGCACAGCACTGTCTGAGGTGAAGCCCCGTCTCCCCCCAACGGCCACCCTCTGCGTTCTTCGTGCGCAGGGCCAAGAGAGAGCAGGAGGTGACGGTGCTGAAGAAGGCCCTGGATGAGGAGACGCGCTCCCACGAGGCCCAGGTCCAGGAGATGAGGCAGAAGCACACACAGGTGGTGGAGGAACTCACCGAGCAGCTGGAGCAGTTCAAGAGGGTACGTCCTGATCTTTTTGGTGACCACACGCAAAAGGAGCGATATGGCGACAGCTTCCAATAACTACAGATCGGGGTCTGTGCTGAGACACATAGGCAGCCCTACGAGACTGTAATGACAGTGGTCACGAGAGCATTTATTAAGCGCTCACTGTATATATGTCAGTTGATCCTCAGAACCACCTATGAGGTAGGTACTCACCCAAGGTCATACAGCTAGTGACCGAGCTGGGGATTTGAACCCAAGGAGGTAGAGTCTATAATCCACTGACCCCCAGAGATAAGCCACTATTTAGCAAAACTTCTGGGAGGATAATTTAAGATGGAGAACATCGTATAATTTCGCTGCAGATTGGAGGGAAACAGCTCTCTGGCAGAGTTTGAGAATGACTGGATCTAACGTTCTTTTCCCCGCCGTGGTTGGCTATTTGGGATGTATGGGACGTGGGGCAGTGAAATAGCACTCCTCTGAATGCTCTGTGGTGAACTTCCTCTCCCTTGGGAGAATTTCCCTGTGTTTCATTCCCAGCAGGGAGCTTTTTAGCTTGCAACATCCAGATTGTTTCCCTCAAGATCTGAATTCTATACCTCACCTTCAGTGAATATGGCTTCCCGGCACTTTCTGGATATCCATATGGCTTCCCAGCATCCTGGCACTTTCTGGATATCTCCCCCAAGCTAGACTAAGTGGGGGTAGCATTACCTAAAACTTGTTGGAGTTTGCATTTGTTTCTGTCACCAGCCCAGGTGAATATTCTTCAGGAGGTGGTTTACTGAGCACCTTCCTGTGAGCTGGGTCACCGCTGCTTCTATCAGAATCTCAAATTTTCCTGCACTTGGAAATAAAGGCACCAGCCCCTTATGTCGCACAGACTATGAGCCAGATACTGTTCCATTGCTTTACAAACACGAATTCATTTCCTCTGTGGCCCTGTTAACGAGCAGCTCCCTGGCCCCATCTTCCGCCCTTATACAGGTGGTCTTAGGACCGCTCTGAAAAGCGCGGTGCAAGACTGAGCCCCCCACCCCCTCCAGATGAATAAAAGGACACTTGTTGGTGTCCTCTTGTCAAGTGAGATCTGAATACTAACTTTTGACATTGTCTCAATTCTTTGTGCATGTTGGACAAATAAGATTTTGCTAATCGTAACTACAACGTACATTTCCCCTTGCGGTACTATGTTGAATAAAAGTGATGAGCGTAGACATGCTTATCTTGTTCCTGACCTTAGGGGAAAAGCTCTCCATTTCTCCCCACTGAGTATGATGTTTGTCTTGTTTTTTAAATGTCAGAATTCCTGAGGTATATGAAGTAAAACCCTGTAACTGTAAAGTTTGATGAATTTTGACAGATATATGCATTCGTATAACCACCACCTGTCATGATAGAGAACACTAGAATTTTTTTATAAAGAAGCTGGAATCCAAATTTTTTTCAATGTTATTTTAAGATTTATTTACTCATGAGAGACAGAGAAAGGCAGAGGCAGAGGGAGAAGCAGGCTGCCCACTGAGCAGGGAGCCCGATGTGGGGCTCCATCCCAGGACCTTGGGATCATGACCTGAGCCGAAGGCAGACGCTGAACAGACTGAGCCACCCAGGCGCCCCTGGAATCCAGATTTATGTGACATTTCTTTACTAAAATGTTGGCAACTAAGACTAGGTCAACCAGGACATAACAGTAAGTTGGATGTAGCTCATGGAATGCTCGTTTGCAACCTTTGAGCTTTAGAAAAACAGAATACAGAAAGTCTTACAGTGACCGCGTGTCTCCCACCTCACCGCGTCCCTCCCTTGAGGCAACAAGCACAGGTCCTTAGAACCTTCCTGACTGGCAGAGGGAAAGGGAAAGAGGAAGATGCCCCAAGGGATAGAGGTTCTGATCTTAAAATGCGTTCCTGGCCCGAGCTCTAATGCCTTCCCTCCCCTCTGTTTACTTGGCCAGGCCAAGGCCAATCTAGACAAGAACAAGCAGACGCTGGAGAAGGAGAACGCCGACCTGGCCGGTGAGCTGCGGGTCCTGAACCAGGCCAAGCAGGAGGTAGAGCACAAGAAGAAGAAGCTGGAGGTGCAGCTGCAGGAACTGCAGTCCAAGTGTAGCGATGGGGAGCGGGCCCGGGCCGAGCTCAACGACAAGGTCCACAAGCTGCAGGTGAGGCGGCGGCGCAACAAGCATCCCTTGGTCCCAGCTCTGCAGGGGGATGAAGCTCTTCCCGGCTAACTGAAGTCTCTCTTGCTGCAAAGCAAGCTGGTTTCCTCTTGTTCCACTTCTCAAGGAGAGGAGATGGGCTCTCTCTTCCGTTCGATCTTTAGAAACCTTCATCTGCTCATTCAGCAAGCATTTGAGTCTTTGCTGTAGGCCGGGCGCCATGTTTAGTGCTGAGATACAGCGGCTAGAAAGACACGGCGCTTGCCCCAATAGAACTCTGACCCAGTGGAGGGAAAGGCATTTCTAATTCCATGAATGATGTAAAATGATGCAGTAAGTGTAAGTAACAAGGGGCCTGACCTGTAGGAGGAGGAGTTGGGAAAGGCTTCCCTAAGAAGGAGGTATAGTCTGAGATAAGTAGAAGGCTAGGACACAGAGGGAGCAGCATGTGCAAGGGCCCAGGGGTAGGTGGGAAATTAGAAGAGATCACAGAAGTTGAGCTAGAATGCTGAGCTGGAAGGGGAAATGTGGTATAACGTGGGACTAGAGAGGTAGGTCGTGGCCGAGTGACACAGGGCCTTCGAGGTCCCATTATATGTATGTTCGTCTTTACTCTGAGTGACAAGAAGCCATTGATAGGTTTTAAGCTGAGCGATGGTAAAGTCTGTTTGTCTTTGGTCTTATTTAGCTTTGACTAGACGTTTGGCCTGACTTCCCATTCGTGGGATACAGGCAGATCTTTGATAAGTGTTTAATGTGCTTATAGCCTGGGACAAGGGAGCAGGGGAAGCATTAAATACGATTTTTCCCCCCACATGCAGGGGAGAGCAGGGGTTCTGCTCTCATAACATAAGCAATGTCCTAGAGGAGCAGAGTCAAGATCATTTATATCCTCGTTGTAAGTGGGAAGAAGATGGACAGTGGGCTGATATCTCCAAAAGGACCTGCTCCTGCATCTCTGGTTTTGGCCATAAGGACGCATGAAAGGGCCAAGAGTAGGGGTGAGGAAGAGGGTGGTGGAAAAAGGGCCCTTGGAAGTGGAGGTGCCATCTGTATCCTCTTCTCCAACTTTAGGGAGGAGAGTCCAGAGCAGCTCGATGTCTGGATTCTCAAACCGGTTTCATTTTTTGCCAACCTTGGCAAGGATCCAGGATCCAGGATCCACTGAGTGGGATTAGGACCCAGTCAATACAGTTTGGGGCTCTAAGAGGTTCCCAACCTGTAAGCGATTCACTCCCCTTGGGAGCCATGGAGCTACCGTGATCAGGCCCCATAGCTCGTGGGTATTTCTCAATCGGCAGATACCACATGACCTATCGTGTGAGTAGAGAGGGCCTCTCTTACTTAACAGGGATCCCGTTCTGGAGGTTCTAACCACAGTCTCTTGGCATCCTCAGAATGAAGTGGAGAGTGTCACAGGGATGCTCAACGAGGCGGAGGGGAAGGCCATAAAACTGGCCAAGGACGTGGCATCCCTTGGGTCCCAGCTCCAGGACACCCAGGTGGGTATTTGGCCACATCATCCAGAGGGACCCGGGGTATGAACTTCCCTGGGACTTCCATGTGTCCTTCCATAGGAGCTGCTTCAAGAAGAAACCCGGCAGAAGCTCAATGTGTCCACCAAGTTGCGCCAGCTGGAGGATGAGAGGAACAGCCTGCAGGACCAGCTGGACGAGGAGATGGAAGCCAAGCAGAACCTGGAGCGTCACATCTCAACTCTGAACATCCAGGTGCTCGCTAAGTGTCCTTGCTTTTCTAGGACCGAGCCTTGGAGGGAGATCAAGAGCTCGATTGGGCCGTGGTGGTGTGTTGGAGCCATTTTGCTTGGCTCACTGGCTCCCCCTGCTGTTGAATTTCTGCAATGCGGAGAAAGTGGTCTCTTCCCAGGGTGGGGTCAGGGACGGGATTCAGCCAATGGCCCTCCTCTTACGGGACCCCGGACACTGCCATTTTAGCTCTCCGATTCGAAGAAGAAGTTGCAGGACTTTGCCAGCACCGTGGAAGCCTTGGAAGAGGGCAAGAAAAAGTTCCAGAAGGAAATCGAAGGCCTCACCCAGCAGTACGAAGAGAAGGCAGCGGCTTATGACAAACTGGAAAAGACCAAGAACAGGCTTCAGCAGGAGCTGGACGACCTGGTTGTCGATTTGGACAACCAGCGGCAACTCGTGTCCAACCTGGAAAAGAAGCAGAAGAAGTTTGATCAGGTAGGGGCTGGAGGGTGGTCCGCTCTGTGCGCGGACACGGGCCGGGGCAGGTGGGGCTGCAGTGTATCTGCATCCCATCCCCTGCTTTGCTGGCCGCGATGGAAGGCTAGCTTGCCTCGGGTGACCCTGAAACACGAGGGCTTTCTAGGTCAGAGTGAGGAGAGCGGCCCCACCCGGACGGGACTTCCAGGTACCCCCACCAAGAGGCTCACCTATGACCTCATGATGCCTTAGTTTCTAGCCCCAATAAGGAGCGAGATTCGTTTTATTCACTCAACAAGTATTTATGGAGTGCCTCCTGAATATTCCAAGTAATTTAATGTTTCTACCCTTTAGATAACCACTTTCCCCTAACATTTCATTACGTACAATTTCAAGCACCCAGCAATGCTGAAAGCATGAAACCGTGAACACCTGAATACCCACCACCTGGATTCGAGCGTGAACGTTCTACCAAACTCGCTTTTTTACATGTTTATTGATAAGGATGAACTGTATATGTCAGTGGTATCTTATCTTTTGGATGCATTTCAAAGCAAATTACAGACCTCCCCCTCCATGCCTCAACACTCTGTGTATTAACTTAGAGTTCCTATTTCAAATACGATTTTGCTTCTTGTGAGATAAGAAGCAAAGCAAAATTACCTACATAGAAATGCACAAATTTTTAAGTGTACACTCTCTCGAGGTTTTTTTTTTTTTTTTTTCTCTCTTGAGTTCTGATAAATGCATCCACCTGTGTGGCCCAGACCCCCAAATACCGACTTTTACTTTGTTACTCAGAGTTAGCAAACATCATTTGGTTTGCAAGTGATTTGGGGTTATCCTAAAAATCAATTTGGGGATTGTACTGGGTCAGAGCCAGAGGCGTGGGGGCTCAGAGCACCAGGCTTTTAGATGACATGCTGGCCCTTCCCTTTTTTGTCTCTGTGCGGTTGACCAGTCTTCCCTGTTTCCACTCTGCTGTCCCATTATCGGTTTCAAGGCCTGAGGTCACGTCTTTTATTTTCCTGTCACGTTTGGTGTAGGGTTTTTGTGTTGACTGTGCTATTTGGGGGCCCCTATCACTTACCTTTGCTGACTTCTAGAAGTCTGGGTTTGGCTCTCTCTGCAGATGAGATTAATGTCCCTAACTCTGGCTCCTAGGGCACTTTTGAGAGCAAGAGACGAGTGGCCATGAAAAAAACAAAAAGAATTATTGGCCCCCGGCAGGATTAAATGTCACTTGGACCTCAGTAGCAGTGTGTTCTAACCGACATGGGCGGCATGAGTGATTTCAAAGCACAAAGACTCAGCAGATGCTGGTTGCGCGGAAGGTCGAGCTAGAAGTCAGAAGCAAGCTTATTATTAAATCTCTTGCCATAGATATCTTGACTGGTTACACCTGCCCCTGAGTACATTTAGCAGGACACAAGGCTTCTCGCCCTTATTTGCAATGAAATGAAGCTGAGCTTCGGGTATGCTGAGGGGTCACTTCTGGGGCTTCTGTTGTGTTGTAGTTGTTGGCCGAGGAGAAAAGCATCTCTTCCAAATACGCGGATGAAAGGGACAGAGCCGAGGCAGAAGCCAGGGAAAAGGAAACCAAGGCCTTGTCCCTGGCACGAGCCCTCGAGGAGGCTCTGGAAGCCAAAGAGGAACTTGAGAGGACCAACAAAATGCTCAAGGCCGAGATGGAGGATCTGGTTAGCTCTAAGGATGACGTGGGCAAGAACGTAAGTCTTAGCTCACTCACATGTCACCAGCCCACCCTCCCCACTATTTATCAGTCCCTGGGGTGGGCTGGGCAGGAGGCGGGGGGGGGGCTGGCTCCGTGCCTCTTTGATGTGAAACCATAATCGGGACTGCAGGCAGTCCCTCTGACCGTCACCCACACATTGGTTGGGAAGAGCAGTTGGGGTTGGGGTCTGAGTCCAGGGCTCCCAGAGGAAGGCTCTGGTCTTGACTCCTTGGCCATGCATCCTGTGGGGGGCAAAAGGCCCTCTCTCTGACTTGAATGAGCTTCCTGTCATTGTGGGTTGCCTGCCCATCTACATGAAGCCAACTCTCACGTGAAAGGTCCATGAACTGGAGAAGTCCAAGCGGGCCCTGGAAACCCAGATGGAGGAGATGAAGACCCAGCTAGAGGAGCTGGAGGACGAGCTGCAGGCTACGGAAGATGCCAAGCTGCGGCTCGAGGTCAACATGCAGGCCCTCAAAGGCCAGTTTGAGCGGGACCTCCAGGCCCGCGATGAGCAGAATGAAGAGAAAAGGAGGCAGCTCCAGAGGCAGGTAATCTGGGGCAGGTCAGGGAGAAGGGGGGCTGGAGTGGGAGGTGGGGTGGCCAGTTTCCTTCCTCCCACCACCACCTCCTGGCCCGATGGAGACTTGGTTTTCTTCCCTGCAACCTGGAGATGAGCAGACCCACCTGGCAGGGGGCTGTGCACACCTGGGAGCTGGCTGAATGCTGGCTGAGGCCGGGGTGGGCTGGGGTGGGGGCGGAGAAGGGCCTCCAAGGGACAGGTCAGCCCAGCAGCGCACATCTCCCCTCCTCGCTCAGCTTCATGAATACGAGACAGAACTGGAAGATGAAAGAAAGCAACGTGCCCTGGCAGCCGCAGCCAAGAAGAAGCTGGAAGGGGACCTCAAAGACCTGGAGCTGCAGGCCGACTCAGCCATCAAAGGCAGGGAAGAAGCCATCAAGCAGCTTCGGAAACTGCAGGTGGGTGATGGCTCAGATGCAGGGTGCAGGTGGAGGGAGGCCATGGCTTCCCCGAGGCCGGGGACGTCAGCAGCAGGACGCATGCCTGTCACTGGTGCCTATTAGCTGCTGTTTTCCCCACCACAGTTCAGCATTTGGGGGCTGTTTCTTGCCCTGGGTAAGGCATGGTTACCAGGCATTTGGCCGTGGCCCTCTGACCGCATGGCCATTTTTTAGGTCTGCTGAGCCCATCCGGAACGGTGCCCCTCAACAGCAATCTAGCCATATGTGAGGTGGTGGGTTATGCTCATACAATGGGGACATCTCTGTGGTTAATCGTGGAAAATCCTAGGGGTGGGCATGCAACGATAATTTGGGCAGAACTTGGGTGAGTAAGGACATCTTAGCTTGTCCTTCCTGTTGACTCATGCAGGCTCAGATGAAGGACTTCCAGAGGGAGCTAGAAGACGCCCGTGCCTCCAGAGATGAGATCTTTGCCACCGCCAAAGAGAATGAGAAGAAAGCAAAGAGTTTAGAAGCGGATCTCATGCAGCTCCAGGAGGTAACGCTTTCTCTCTGAGAGCCTCAGACAGGGGTCTCTTGGTAGGCACCCTCAGCACCCCGGTGATTTCTTTCGCTCATCCAGCATTCCACATAGGCAGCCCCCCAGAGTAAGGGCAGCGAAAGACAGGATTTTTCTCCTCCAGTATAGATGCAGGGCTTCCCCTGAGCTCAGAGAAGGCATAGCCACTTTCAAGGGTGGCCATAGAAACTGCTGGGGTTCAGCCCTTCCGTGGGAGATAACAGGTTTCCTTCCTCCCCGGCCCCCCACCGTCCAGGATCTAGCCGCAGCTGAGAGGGCTCGCAAACAGGCCGACTTGGAGAAGGAGGAACTGGCCGAGGAGCTGGCCAGCAGTGTCTCAGGAAGGTATGGAGCTGCGTGGGGAGGAGGGGGTCCCAGACTCAGATGATGAGGGAGAGGCAGCTCATGGGAGAACCTCCTGGACCCCCGTTTTACTGCTGAAAAGGACAGTGTCCGCTGAGCTTGTCACAGGGGTCACAGGGGTCTTCACACCCCATTTGAGTGTGTGGCCAGATTTGTTCATTCTGAATGAGCAGCATGGTGGGGCTGGGGCGGCTGGGGACACCAGAGAGGGGAGAGCTGATCTTTGTGCCAGGCCCCGGCTCTGCTGATACCTACTAGATAGTCCTGGCCCCCTTCTTCCCAGCTGTGTGACTTTGGACAAGTCTCTCAGCCTCTCTGAGCCTATTTCCTCCTGGGCATCGCTCCTCCAAGGAGAGGGAATCTTATAAGCCAGGGGGAGGCTGGAGCCCCAGATGTAGCTGCATTTCCCTTAGGAACACACTTCAGGATGAGAAGCGCCGCCTGGAGGCCCGGATTGCGCAGCTGGAGGAAGAGCTGGAGGAAGAGCAAGGCAACATGGAGGCCATGAGTGACCGTGTGCGGAAGGCCACGCAGCAGGTGGGGGCCGGAGTGGGGCAGGGCACCTGAGCGGTAACAGTGCTGGGCTCCACCTGTAATAAGCCCACCGTGGCCCAGTGACATGCACTGCAGGCTCCTGTGGGCCAGGCCGGGGTGCGGTGGGGTTGGGGGGAGGGGGCCAGCACGCCTGCTCCCTGCACCCAGTCCCACCTCTCAGAGTCCTGCAGCACCCTGCCAGCCTGCAGCGTCTCAGCTGGTGGCCAGCGTAGGCCTGGCTCCCTCCAGCAGATGCCGCGTGCCTGGAGGAAGGGCCTCGGGGTACTTCTTGCTCTGTCCCCAGCCCCCGGCCTTACCCTCGTGAGCACTCAGTGCCATTACTGAGTGCCAGCACTGAGTGCCACCTCCAGGACAGGTGCTCGGGACCCACCACGTGACCCAGAAACGGGGAGCCCGGGTAGCACTGGGACGCTGCCCCTTGAGCTGTGCCCAGGAAGGAGCTAGTGGCTGGGGGAGCCAGGGAGGGCTCCTGGGGGCTCCGGCTCCAGGGACCCACGCTGAAGGCGGGGGGGGGGGGGGGGGGGGGGGCAGCAGGAGACGTTCGTCATCTCCATGGACCACGCCGGGCTTCCGTGCCCTCCACTTCATGACCTTCACCGTCCTCCGCAGGCTGAGCAGCTCAACAACGAACTAGCCACGGAACGCAGCGCGGCCCAGAAGAACGAGAGCGCAAGGCAGCAGCTCGAGCGGCAGAACAAGGAGCTGCGGAGCAAGCTGCAGGAGATGGAGGGGGCGGTCAAGTCCAAGTTCAAGTCCACCATCGCGGCCCTGGAGGCCAAGATCGCACAGCTGGAGGAGCAGGTCGAGCAGGAGGCCAGGTACGTGGGGCCCCGGCTGCAAAGACAGCCCGCGTGCCAGTGAGGGGTGGGGGGGGCCCTCGGGCTCTCTGGGCATCAGTTCTGGCTGGGAAATAAGCCCCGTGGTACCCGGGCTGCAGCTGTACTGGGAGATCGGTGTGTGAACGTCCGGGGGGGGGGGGGGGCGCCGGGCCCAGGGAAGGCCCTTAGCACTAGCATTACGTAGCAGGTCTCCTCCGTGAGGTCAGCCAGCCTTCCCGGGAGCACGCCGGCTTTTCCTGGCCTGTGTTTGCAGGGCGTTGTGTTAAGGGCTACACAGAAAGTCCCAATCAGCAGCCAATGCAGCCCAAGCAAGTGTGGGAAGGAACCCTTCTCATTTTAATGAGAAAGAAAGGTCATAGCACCATGGTCACCGTCAGACCACATGGATTCTGACCCATTTTTATTTTGGTAGTGGCTTTACTGATAACATTCATACCCTAGACTTCAGCCCTTTAAAGTGTTCAACTCAGTGGCTTGCAGTATATTTGCAGAGAGGGGCACTCTCTCCACAGTCAACCAGGGAACGTTCTCATCCCCTCAGTAAGACACCCTGTACCCCTTCGCCCTCAGTCTCCATCAGCCCGCAGCAACCACTGACGGACTTTCCGTTTCTGTGGTCTATTCTGGACATTTCATATAAATGGAATCACATACTGTGGGCCCTTTTGTGACTGGCCGCCTCTGCTGAGCGTGTCTTCAGCATTCACCCCTGTTGGAGCAGGTGTCAGAACTACATTCCCTTTTACGGCCGAGCCCTGTTCTTCTAGCTGATTTGGGGGAGGAGCCCCGCTGTGGGGCTCCGGAAGAGCGCTCACAGTGGGCACGGTGCGGGTCGGGTCTGTACGCCAACGGCAAGTGAAGCCATCCCCTCTCCCTCCGTCTATGCAGAGAGAAGCAGGCGGCTGCCAAGTCGCTGAAGCAGAAGGACAAGAAGCTGAAGGAGGTCCTGCTGCAGGTGGAGGACGAGCGCAAGATGGCAGAGCAGTACAAGGAGCAGGTAAGCCAGCTCCTCGGGCCCCTCCCGGCCCGCCGCCGACCCTGCTAAGGGGGGGGGGGCTCCCCTAACCCTTGGGCCTCTCCCTGACTGACAGGCAGAGAAAGGGAACGCAAAGGTCAAGCAACTCAAGCGGCAGCTGGAGGAGGCGGAGGAGGAGTCCCAGCGCATCAATGCCAACCGCAGGAAGCTGCAGCGGGAGCTGGATGAGGCCACGGAGAGCAACGAGGCCATGGGCCGCGAGGTGAACGCGCTCAAGAGCAAGCTCAGGTATGGCTCGCGGGCTGGGCTCCAGGCAGGCCTGAAGCGCCCACAGTGCGTTTCTTTATCGCTGCAAAGGGCGCCCTCTGCCCAACGCCCCGCTCCTTTCCACGGGTTCCTCCTGCTCGCCCGCACTTGTGCAAGCACCAGTGTGCACCAGGCCGAACCCGTGGGCGCGGATCCTCCCTGCCGTTCTCTAATGGCTGCTTCCCTTCCCATCCCATCCTCAGGTGAGGAGGAAGAGGCCAACCCCTGTCCCCTGAATCAGTACAAGTCCCTTCTCTCCCGAACCTCTTTTCTGGACTCTCTTCGGCTCCTTGGTCTACCTCCGGGTCTCATCACCATTGCTGTTTGGGGCTGGATCATTTTTGATCACACAAGCAGGCCTGTGTACTGTAGGATGCTGGGCAGCATCCCCGGCCTCTCCCCACTGGATTGTCCCAACACAAAGTGTCTCCAGACATCGCCCAACGCACCTGAGGGTGCAGGCCTGTGGTTGAGAGCCTCTGCCCTAACTGGGGCTGAGTTCTCCCCCACACCCCTGCACCTCTGGGCCTGAAGGTGGGTAGGCAATGCCCCCTGCTCCTCAGGGCTCCTTCCCACCCCCACTGGTTCCCTGAAGGCTGGGGCCCCGAGCTTCCTGGCACACGTGCCCACAGCCCTCGCCGGCTTATCATTGGCCTGCCCTGCCATCTTGGTCTCTCTCCATCTCTGCTCACTCCCTGAGTGATCTCAACCAGCCTGGTGGCTTTTGAATTCCACCCACAGTGAGTGACTTCCTCATTTCTATCTCTAGCCCAGACTTCTTCCTGGAACCCCAGACCCTCACACCTTGAGCCCTGACTGAACCCCTTCACCCCCCCAACCAGCTTCCTGCATAGACTTCTCTAGCCCAGCAACTGATAAAGCCATCATTAACCCAGGCCACAAACCTGGGGTCATTATTTTATTTTTCCCTCTCCCTTATACCTCACATCCAATCTGTCAGAGAATCTGGTCAACTTTCCTTAAAAATACTGTATATCCAGAATCCAACCATTTCTTGTCGTCCTGGTCCAAGCCGCCCTCTCGTACCATCTAGATAACTTTTACAGCCTCCTCATGGGCCTGTGTTCATACTGTGCCTTTATAGTCTGTTTTCAACACAGTAGCCAGAGGGAGCCTGTTGAAATGGAGGTGAGTCACAATCCCCCCTTTGCTTGAAACTATTCAATGGCTTCAGCTCATTCAGACTGAAAGCACCGTCTTTACGATGGTTGGTTCTACTAGGCCCTAATGATCTCCATCCACTGCCTCCTAAATGAGCCCTCCACCTCTACACACGCTGCCTTGGGGCCTTTGCACTGGTGGTTCCTTCTGCCTGGAATGCTCTTCCCCCAACTCTCCGCATAGCAGGATCCCTCCTTCCCTTCCTTCAGGCACTGACTCATCCACGTTCCCCTGTCTACAACTTCCAACCTCATTCCTTGCTGTTCTCCTCCTTGCCACCTATCATCATGTAACCTATTTTACTTATGTCATCTGCAGCCTTCACTCGGGCCCCACGAGCACAGAGGTTTTATCCGTTTATTCATCCCCAGCATCTGGGATAGTGCTGGGCACAAGCCTTCAGTCACTGAGTCAGAGATGTTTCCCCAACGTCACTGTCCTATCACCTTGGCCTTCTGCCTCAGCCTCTTACCACCTGTACCATTGCTGACTTCACATGGTCTTTGAAATTAACTGTTCTAATCACACGCACATCCATTTGCAAATAAGTCCCACCACCCCTGTATTGTTAAACCAGCATCACCGGCATTAACAGGTCACAACGAAATTAAAATAGTGAAAACAAAACAATAATGAATTCTAGCCACCGTGGCTACGAACTGATGACTATGACCAGAAGGCCCACTTCCCCGTTAACAAGGGAGAGACAGAAGATATTAGCACCAAAAAGACCGTCTCTGACATAATCAGATGTATTTAAAAAGAGTTGGAAAGGGAATACCTTTGTCACTGTGCAACTGAGTTATCCAATGGCATGCCCAGGAACCATGTGAAACCACCTGCCGTATCAACTCCAGACTCTGAGAACCACTGCACGTGACGAAGGGAAAGGCCAGACCCCTTTCAGAATGGGGAAGAGAAGGGCTAGTACAGGGTAGGGGCTTCTGGAGGGAAACCCCCCACTGCTGGGATGAAGGCCAGATGTCAGCCCTCAGGTCCAGCAGGGGCTTAGGAACAACCCCCAGGGTGATGTCAGCAAGATCTCTGCTGTTCTCACCACACAGACCCCCGGAATCTGCCCCCGCTGGTGACTGGTCCCTGCCCCTCCTCGGCGCTGGGCTGAGTGGTGGGGCAGTAGTCAGCCACGCTGGCTCTGTCACCCTGAGCTGTCACTGCTCCCTTTTCTCAGGACCCACAATTCTTTTGGCACATGCTGAACATCCCCTGTGGGTTCTGCCCCAAACGGCCCTTCTTAGGCCGAACAGGCCAGTACTGAACATTCCGTTTCTTGCAGTCCTAGTATGAGCATCCGCTAAGGCGGGGTGAAGACCGAGCAGTACGTCTCACACCCCTGAGTCTCGTACGTGTGCAAAACCTAAAGTCAGGTGCTAGAGCTTTGAATGAGGCTGGCAAGCCCAGCCAGCTCTTGGAGGACCAGGAATTGTAAAGCAAGTTTCATAGTTCTACCGACCCGACAAGTCTCAACAAGAGCTCCTGTTAAAGCCTGACCAGCGTGCCCAGCCTTTGCCACTTCGCCAGTCCTCAGACACGAGCTTATCAAAGGAGACGACGACTTAATGTGTACCAGCCTCTTTAAGAGCTCTTGGTGGCAGGTGCTTCGCTGCCAAGTTGCCTTCTAAGTGCCTTTAATGATTTAATTGAAGCGAATGCCTTTAACGAATAAACACGCACTGAAACGGACTCCCTCTCGTTTGCGGATGATAACCACCAGGGACTCTCTCTCTCTGTTTCAGAGGCCCCCTCCCCCAGGAAACTCCGCAATGACTCACACCAGGTATCATGCCTTCAGCTTCGCAGCTCATGTGTGTTGCACTCAGTTTCCACACTTCTCTTCTGCCATCCCACCCGCCCAATCCCCAGCGGCCCCCCCGTTTTGGCCCCCCCAAATTTCTGTGAGATTGCTGCAAAATCTGCAAGGTGTGGAGATCCTAGTTCAAAACTCTTTCATCACAGCCAAGATCAACCTAAGAAGACTTCACCTCGTGACCCATGTTCCTTCCCTACTTCTGCTTTGGCAATGTGACATGGCACTGAGTGTGTCCTTGTCTCCGCGTGCTGACCGGTGTTCAGAGGCTGTGTGTCACCTGGATTGTTCTTACCTAAGAGGGCATCTCCCACACTGTTAGGACACCTGGTTGTGTTGTCCTCCCTCGTCTGGTTAAGACCCCACACTGAGCGGGCAGGACAGCTCCACAGTCTGGGTCCATTCCCGGAGAACGGCTTCAAGCTGGCTGGTCTGGCTCACAAATCAGAATTCATAGGGCACAGGTTCATGGTAACCAGAGCCCAACAACCGGATACCCCCGCAGCTGGGCTTTCACAAACACGTCTGCGAAAGAAATGAGCTCTCACCGCGCGTTGTACGGTTGCTGAGGCTGCGTGGGGCTGAAGGCCGGGCTGCTAGCTGCATTTCCAGCACACGAGGGCGCGCGTTGGCCACCTCGGAGCCAAGCGGGGTCCTGGCAGAGCCTTTTCCAGAGGTCTTGCGGGCACATACTCAGAGTGGGGAGTGGACACCCGAGACTGGAGGAAGAACACAGGGCCCTTCCCGAGAAAGAGTTAAGAGGCCTCGACTTGTCTAGGAGTCTAACAGCTTTAGCACATGTGAAGTTAGGCACTGGGGCCGGGTTTCCCTCTCATCTCCCTCGAGAGGCCAAGCCAGCCCTGGCTGGTGTCCCCCTTCTGCTCTTTTGGAGAATCTCAGCTTTGCTGCCACTCTGCAAGGACTTAAAGCTGATTGAGGTATTGGCAGGAGCTTTAGGAAGAGCTTTCAGCCTCTAAGACAGAGCTTCTGGCTCCTGCCAGCTCAGACTGGAACGTCGGACCCACTAGTTGATGGGAAACCGAGTCCTTGCAAAGCAAGGGCTCATAGTCTTGTGCTGATTCCTGGTGTGCCCCTAGGGCCTTGCAGAAGTTCTCAGAGTCCATGACTAGAAGCCAAATGCTCCAGGATGAGACCCTTTAAGTAAATCTTTACGGGGGCGGGGGGGGGGGGGTTACCTTACTTCATGTGACAGATGCAGCCAGTGCCAACCTCTGCCTTGAATTTGAAACCAGTTCAAGAAGGGCACCTGAACTGGGAGACAGACTCACAGGACTGACTGGCAGCTGAGCAGGTGGAGGGAGGGGGGAGACTTACGGTGACCCAGGGTGTGATTTACCTCTCAGATCAAGGGAGCCCATTTCTCACTTCAACTCTTCTCACTTGCACAGACTGTCCCAAGAGGCAAAGAGGGCTTGGAGCCTGGAATGGTAGGGGAGACAGAGTTTCCAGGCCCAGGCTGTCCCATCAAATTGGAACCGGGAGGGGAGATGCAGGAGACCCATGCAAGCAGCAGCCGCTAGTTTTTCGTCCTGTCCTCAGAGAGCGTTCTCTGGGACCCAGGTTCTTGGAAAGCACAGTGCTCAAGACTTTTTAAGGTCACTTCTAGAAGAGAGAGAGTGATGGAAAGTGCGTTAGTTCTAAGGGCGCTAGGCACCTCCATGCTTCCCTCTGATGTGAGTGAGGCTGGCCAGAATCTTCAGCTGGGAGTGGCTACAACCTGACGTATTCGTTCCTGATTGCTGCACCCCCGGAAGTACCATTCTCTGAAACTAGGCGGGTTTTCCCGGCCATGTTTCTCCCACCCTCAGACCCCAAAAGGCTCAGGTTGGGACTCCCCTTCTCAGCGATCAGGACACTCTGGGCCTTGCTTTGCGTCCAGTCTTACCTCTCTGAGTTGCCCCTTTTGACTAAAGCATGGATAACGGGAATGGGCTCTCTCCCTCGTGGCTTTTCTGTCCAGCCTTTGTGTGGCAGAGCGGGCCGTTTTCATTACAAAGAGTCTGCACTCCTCTCAGGCATCCTAAAAGGAGTTAAGACAGGTCCTCCGATTCAGGTCAAACAGGGCCGGGTGGCCAGAGCCCAACAGATTCTTTGCTGTGGTCGCAGGAAAGATGGCAACCATGTCCTCCAAGCAGAGGAGGTCGAATGCAGGTGGATGGGTCTTCTCCTTTTGCCTGCCTGCCTGCCTGCCTGCCCTTCTAAGCAAAGCCTCACTTCAGTTAACCTGGGCAGGCTCTGGCAGTAACTCAGGGCAGCTGGCACTCCAGAGATGGGAGCTGTTAAGGACAGAGAGGAAGGGGTGTCCTACCAGCTAGAGCTAAAATACACCTTGGATTAACAGGTCTATCTCACTTTTCTAACAAATATTCATTGAATATTATAGGCCATGCATGGTGCCTGCATGGTGAGCAAAAATCAGACAAGATCTCCGCCCTGTGAGAACTCATGCCAAGAGTTCCGCTCCACACAAGCAGGGGGCCCTGCGTTGCCTGAACCAAGAGCACACTTCTGGCATCCATGCAGTGACCTCTCTCCCTCGAGGCTGCCTTTGATGCTCATTTCCACCTCCTTACAACTGAAAACCTAAAACCCTCCCCCTTTTTACCTTCTGAAGGCAAGGAGGTACAGCATGTTGAACATGTTCCCCTTTATACCGGCCCCAGAGGGTATAAATAAACCCATGGGAACATGCTAAGCAGAGTCCACTGGGTTTGGAATAAACCCACGGGAACTTGTTTTTCCCTTTTCTAAATGAAAGACCCTAGCAGACCAGAATCCTGTGGGTCATTGGATGACCAAGCCAGTTTTTTTTTTTTTTTAAGCAGATGGCCTTGCTTTGAAAAATCTACTTTTCCCCCATGCCAGCTGATGAAATGCTACCAGACTTTGAAATTGGTCAGGGCTTGACTTCAACCTGAATACTTGCCTCTCATTTGAGTTTGTCTGCATTTGTCTTTTGCCCCTTGAAAAATCTCCCTTCCCGAGGGAGATTTCGGTACTCAAGAAACACGTTATTTCTCTTAAATCCCACAGGCGAGGAAACGAGACCTCTTTTGTTCCGGCTAGAAGGTCTGGAGGACGTCGGGTCATTGAAAATGCGGACGGCTCTGACGAAGAAGTGGACGCTCGTGACGCGGACTTCAACGGAACCAAAGCCAGTGAATGAACAACTTGCTACAAACGAACAAAACCAAACCCAGTGGACTCTGCTTAGCACCGTCAAAATCCATCTTCAAATTCCAAACGTCACAGACACCCCTCACGATGACTATAAACACCACCGCCCTGAGTCTGGGGCATCAGTGGAACTTTTGAGTGATGTACCAAACGAGAAAAACCCAACAGGCGACACAGACCCCACCCGCTGCCCCTATCAGTGAATTGTGCCGAAATTGTGAGGTTTTAGGAAAGATATAACCACCGTAACTGATCACTGGCAACTGAGTTTACATGACAGGGGGCAGGAAGTCACCAAAGTGGGTGCCACCGCCTCCCCCTCCCAAGTCATTCCCCTACCCTTCCAATGTGTCGAGTGGGCCCCTGTTTTGAGTTCTTTCCCCTCCTGGTTACCACACCTCAGACGCACACAGTTCACGGAGACCAAGTGCCTTCGGTAGTCACAGGAATTAAAAAGGAGACACTGCTCCAGTGGGTAAGAGCAGGAATGTTACACTGTTTTATATGCACCCCGATTGTACTTAAGGACACCCTCACGAATAAAAGGTTATAAATCACTGGCGTGCACTCAGCGCTTCTGTCGTTTTGGAGAGTGAAAGAATGGGGGAAGGGCATTCTCATTGAAGCCTTATGGTGACCCTGTGAAGTCAGCTTATTGTTCCTTCATAAACGGGGAAACTGAGGCCTAGAGATGTGAAATCAATTGTCCGAGATCCCACAGCTGGCACAAAAAAAGGCAAGCAGAGATGTCACGGGAGTCTGTGTTGAGGGGACTTCTCAAACCAGAGGTGGGAGGCTCCAGGCCCAGGAAGTAGGAACGTGACCAGAATGAATGTCCTTATCAATTCAAACCCATACATACATACTGGGAAGAATACAAGACATCCTTGCATTTTAAAGTTAAAACACAAGACCTTCATCCAGCAGGGGCCAACCAACTTTCTGTGAAGGCCAGAGAGTCAGTATTCCAGGCTACACATGGTCTCTGTCACATGGTTATCTTTCCTTTTTAAATTTAAGATTTTTTTTTTAAGTTTATTTGACAGAGAGAGAGGCAGCGAGAGAGGGAACACAAGCAGGGGGAGTGGGAGGAGAAGCAGGCTTCCCACCGAGCAGGGAGCTCAATGCGAGGCTCGATCCCAGGACCCTGGGATCATGACCTTAGCTGAAGGCAGATGCTTAACGACTGAGCCACCCAGGTGCCCCTAAATTTTTTTTTAAATAACCCTTTAAAAATATAAAACCATTCCTACTGCGGGGGCCACACAATACCAGGTCGTAGGTCCTTTCCTTCCTCAGCTTGAGTGTTCCAGACAGAGATCCCTTGCAAAAGTTCTGTTCGACACAATTCTACACACCAACTCCGTGGGGTCCAAGAGATTTGAGAAGAGAAGAAATAAGGCAAACTGAAAAACTCAAGCCAGTGACCAAATGCGAATATACCCTGAGCAATATACAAACATACCCCAATTACACTTACTTCTAAGAAGCTGACTTGAAGGGAATTTTTTTAAAGTAGGGTTTTTTTTTTTTTTTTGCGTATTTAGTTACTTGGTTAAAAAAAACAAGTTTTTCACCACCATACGAGCAAACATAAAAGCACAAACGAAGCGGCATTTACTGACCACCACCACAAGCTAGGTGAAAATTAGTTTCTCTTGATTTTATTGTTCTTTTAAAAAAATAAAAGTACGTCTTTCACCGACACAGGTTAGAATGTTCCCAGGGTAAGGAGCCGGGCACCAGAGATCAATTCTCTGTTGAATTTCAGTAGCACTTCTAAAGTTCTATCTTCAACTCAAGGACATTTTTACTATTCTTTTGGAAAAATAACTTAGTAACAAACGGTTGTTAAGCTGCATGCATGCTCCTGAATTCGCGTGTTCTTTTTACTCAACTCCAAAAGTGTGAGACGGCAGCTCACACCAAGCAGGGTTGAGTACATATAATATCTGTGTGGAAATCGCGTGTTTGTTTCTTCTTTGACAAGGAAGCTTCCAACAACAATCCTGTGGTTTAATCTTATTTGGAGATCACCCCGATTACTTATCAAGGCTTTGAATGATGTCCTGCTCTCAGGGGCTGCATTCCCAAGGCCATGACACCCTGAAGACTGTCAGGGTCCCGAAGGGGAGGTCACCCTCAGGCCAGGGCCGAAGTCTGAGGAAGACTAACCATCAGGATTGGTCTAAAGAGGACACAGACTTTCCACTGACCTGGCCCACACAAGACCTCCTCGGAAACACAAGCACACCTCTCAGTACCTCAGTGAGAGCCAGATTACAAAGTCCCAGCGGTACGCAACACCAGAGTTTCTTTTTAAAAAGACATGTGCCTATTCTACTCCTCTCTCCTAGATGTGATTTCATGACACAGACCCTCCCTGTGCCACAGAGCCCTGGGAGATTGTGTTCTGGAAGACGGCCTGAGTCTGAGGTGGGCTCACATCCCACTTTTGAGGCATCTCCCAACATTAAAAAAACAGAGTCTTAAAGCCACTGGGGACTCAGGCCAGCTCACAATGATGGGGTAGCCTCGGCGTCCACACCTTCGAGCCCTTTCCAGAGGGTCCCGGTTGCCCCGTCCACACCAGCAAGCAGGATGGGGACCATGACATTTCCCCAGGACAACTACCAGGGGCCACGGGCGATGGCCTCATTGGCTAATGTGACTGCTCCTATTTCTCAAACTAACTAAAAAACACAAAAACCTAGTTTAAAGAGGGAAAGAAAGGTAGGACCCCTGCACAGACACACCGGGGCTTCAGCTTCCGTGGATTTCCTAAAGCAACATCTTGACTACACCCTGGGCTGACGGCAGCGACGGTGTGGAAATATTTGAAGGCGGCTTCCCAAATTCCAGGCGTTTTCCCAACCTTCAGATAGAGCAAACCAAATTAGGCGGACATGACATCTGTGACAGACTGGCTAGCATCGGGGCCCACAAAGTTCTAAGAGTGACTATCAGGAGTCAGGAGCAGTGTCTCCCTGGGTATCATGAAGTGAAATGAAGAAAAAGACACTGGCCGGCTAGCTTGCATGTTCCCAAGGCCACATGAAAAGCCCGGTCACAGAAGACCAGCTAAAAACATCCTCTTCAACAGGGTTGGAAGTTGTGGGCAAGCCATGGAAGACGAGTCTTCATTTCCTGCCATCGGTCTGCCATGGGTCTACCAGGGTGACGTGGCTTGGGGGCCAGGAAGATGGTGGCACGGCTTAGAAAAACCAATGAATCTAGAAGCTGCCCCGATTCTCCTCAAGGAAGAAAACACCCAAAGCTGTCAGAGGTCAGATCTGTGTTTTCTCATCAGGCGACTGGCTTTGGGGATCTAGTCTGGCTGGAAGGTAGTGCCTGTTTCCTGAGTTTCTAAAGATTTTTTTTTTTTCCCTTCAGGAAAAAAATCCTCTGGGGGAAGCAGAGCAGTGTTTGAAGCCCAAGTCCCAAACAAGGGTTCCATACAGGACATGCTCACAGCATGACCAGGAGCTGGGCTGCCAGAATCAAATAATGAAAATGAGCCTCTTCCTGGCCATTGGCCCTTAACCAGAAGACACCACCTAACTCTGTCTCAAGGGGGTAGAGGGTAAGGTTCACGGACATAAGCCCGCAACTTTTCCAAATGGCTACGGGCTCCCCCCTGGAGTGGACAGCTAAAGGTACTGACCCTTTGTCACCCAGAGGCACGCCGGCGCTGCTCGGCTGTCTCTCACCACCATCTCTGTGCTTGCTCCCCCGCCCCGAGGCTGGGCCACTCGTTCGGTTTGGGGACTGATCATACACGAAGTTCCGGCAGGACGCCAGCTTGGACTCCAGTGCCTGCAGAGAAACACGTTTTCATCCTCCAAGTTAAAGACAAGAACTCACCTCTCACCCAGAGCCTGCGCATAGACAATAACCGAAAACAGGGGTTCTCAAATTGTGTTGGACGCTGGAATTCCAAAGTGGGGCCCTGAAGGAATCCAATGTACGTCCAACTTTTAGAGCCACTGACCTAAGACATTTCGGGGCTTCTTGGGAAAATCACTAACCCCGCCTATTATCCAGTTCTGCCTATGGGAAATAGGAAATCCACTTTTGGAATGATTTGCTCTTTTGTTTACCTCAATAAACATGCTCAGAGTGGCTTGTGTGGAAGCACTGTGCCTTGCTGGAAAGGGACCCCATGAAAACCAAGAGGGCACTGAGACCACCGCACACTTCCCTATACTCTAACTGTCCAAAACATTACCAGAGAAACGTGTTGGGGCGCCTGGGTGGTGCAGTCGGTTAGGCATCCAACTCTTGGTTTCAGCTCAGGCTATGATCTCAGGGTCACGGGATCAAGCCCCGCGTCAGGCTCCACTCAGTGCAGAGTCTGATTCAGATTCTCTCCCTCTCCCTCTGCCCCTCCCACTTGTGCTCTCTCTAAAATGAATAAATCTTTGAAAAAAGGGAGAGACAGAGAGAAATGTGTTTACAGAACAGAAAACCAGACAACCAGAAGGTAAAAGGAAAAACATGATGAGGTTGCAGTTCTGCATACATTCTGGCAGGATTTAAATTAGGTGATCTTCCAGGCCATCATTTTTAAAACTAAAAGAAACCACCACAAAGAATACCTATGTTATTTTTTTAAAAAGATTTTATTTATTTATTTGACAGAGAGAGAGAGAGCACGAGAGGGAACACAAGCGGGGGGGGGCAAGAGGGAGAAGCAGACTCCCCGCCGAGCGGGGAGCCCGACGCAGGACTCGATCCCAGGACCCTGAGATCATGACCTGAGCCGAAGGCTGACGCTTAACGACTGAGCCACCCAGGTGCCCCACCTATGTTATTTCTTAAGCACAAAAGAATCTTTCCCTGTAATGAACATAAAACCTATAAAGTCAAGTTTTTTGCCCTAGACTTTCGAGATTTCTGTCTTTAACTCCCTAAGAAATTTTAAAAAGAGGAGGCAATTTTTAAATGTTTCTCAGTTTTTTTCAAATTAAGGAAAAAAATCATAGACACCAACCCAATTACCCAAATTCCAACGAAAAATGACCAGGGAAAGATATGCCCAGGCAAAGAGATGACAGAGTCAGGGCTCTGGATGTTCGTCAATAACAATGCTCACAGAAGCTCAAATGATGCTCAGGGACACTAACAGAACCAGAGTTTTGCCTAAAACGCAGGGAGTCTCTGCTAACGGGAAAGGAACTGGTAAGGTCACCCCTCTCCAATAACCTGAAACACAGGCAAGGAGCCACACCAAACCCCAGGGAGGTGGTGGTCTTACCCCTACTTTCCGAAGCAAGTCTCCCACAATGTTGAGAGCCGATATCCGCGCTGCAGGAGTGAGGGGGGTCCCACCCGTGGAGTCATCCAGACCTGGGTGTGCAAAAGGAAGCGCACGTAATACCAACCTGCAGTCCTAAGTCCGTGCACTAACATCCCTAAATGCAGAACCACAGGGGTGGACTTGGGAAGCTAACTCTGCCCTCTGATCCCGGACGCTACCCTGTTGCACTCACTAGTTAACTAACACAGGAAAAGTCTACTTGATGACCAAACTCTTGCAGCCTTACAACCACTATACTAAACGTTTATCTTTATGTGTTATTCTTTTAAAACAAAAGTGAAATAAGTCCTCTTGAAATTCTAGGAATTCCATATAGTTAGGAACAGCATTGGAGCAAACCACATCTGTAAGAAGCTTAACTCTCCAGAGCCCCTCTCTCTCCTCCAAGCAAGACCCAGGGACCAGCGGCACCAGCATCACTGGGATGCTGGTTAAGATGCAGGATCTCAGGCCCTGCCCACACCTGCTGAATCTCAGGGGCATACTCAAGTGTGGAAAAACCCTGCTCTAGACTGGGATTCTGGAAGTCTCACCAGCTTCTTGATCCCAGGGGACAGGCTAAGGGATAAAACAGTGTGAGCCCTGGAGCCAGCCAGCCTGGGTCTGAATCCCAACTCTGCTATTTACCAGCCACATGATTTTAGGCAATCTCCTTTATCAGGGCCTCAGTCTCCTCATCCATCAAATGGGGATAGCACTTGCATCTTGGGCCTGTGGTGAGAATTCAGTGAGGTCATATATATGCAAAGCATGCAAAGCACAGTGGCTAACTAGCACACACCGAACACTCGGTAATTGTCTATCATTGTTACTTGCTATTAAGTGGCCCAGTAAGTCTCAGTTAATCAGCAGAGGAGCTGGGGAGAAAACTCAAATTGTTCTTTTTTTTTTTTTTTTTTTACCAACAGCCCAGGTTACACTGGCTCCACTTCTGGATGGACGTATTTATTGCTAGGCCCACAAAATGCTTTTCAAAAAATTTTTTTATCTGGTTATTGAAATTTGCAATTTGGGAGATTTCATGTTCAAGAAGAGGATTTCTGGGGGCGCCTGGGTGGCTCAGTCATTAAGTGTCTGCCTTTGGCTCAGGTCATGGTCCCGGGGTCCTGGGATTGAGCCCCACATCGGGCTCCCTGCTCGCAGGAAGCCTGCTCCTCCCTCTCCCGCTCCCCCTGCTTGTGCTCCCTCTCTCGCTGCGTCTCTGTCAAATAAATAAATAAAATTAAAAAAAAAAAAAGGATTTCCAGCTTCTGATGAAGAATGGAAATGTCTGCTAAGGCTGGGCCCACATTTCTTGGGGTAGAAGCAGAGTGGCAGCTTCCTTCCCCCACTCCCCGCTCACCACAGACTCCACCGCTCCCTACTACCTTACAACCAAGCTCTTCTTATCTCAAACCTGCCTCCCCCTCCCCACCCCACCCCCACCACCCCAGTTTGCTCCCTGCAGCACAGCCTGGCCCAGTGGCTCTCTCACCCAGGACCCTACCCCCCGGGAAAGTTTTGTGAAGCGAAGAAAATCCTCACAATGGCTATGCCCTTACCACGTCTGAACGTCCCTGGTGTGTTTAAGCTAGCGCTGGGTCCCCGATGAGCTATGGGTGTGGACGGCACAGAGCCGGTGGCCTGCACTGCTGTGTCTGTCCTTTCGGCCTCCACCGAGCTGGGCATGGGGGTCCTGGGCTTCTCCTGCTTCTGCTGCACAGCCAATTCCTGCCGCAAATCTGAGACAGGACAAGGACTCAGATTAGGTCCCTGCTCTGGGTGAAGGGGGGGCGGGGACGGTCAGCAGTAGACACTGGTCAGGGAAAAGAAGTGCCAGAATGAAAAACCATAGGTGGAAACCCTCAACGAAGTGAAACCCACAGGACCTGGCCTAGCAGGCTTGTAAAACTACATAATTTTTTAGTAAAAACAAAAAGGTTTAAAAATTTTTAAAAACTATGGCAGTGATAGATACACTAATGCTTTTCTTGCTCCAAAACAATTTCAGTGCAATAGGGTATATAGAATTCTAAGTGAAAATATGCTTTCTCAACCCATCCCCAAATGCCCCTCCTCACTCATAATCACTATAATATGGGGGAGATATTGTCAATCCTTTTTTTCTGTATTTTCAAAGAATTACGTATCTCTCTTAAGCATATGATAGGAATAATTCTTATTAAGTATAAATAGAAATATATCTACTGTCTATGACAGCATGTCTTAATCTTTCTAACTATATCTATAACATTCCAGAAAATAAGTTTATGTAATTTATTTAACCACTTCACTACTCATGGGCATTTATAGAACTACCTTTCAAACTTAAAAAAGAGTTTTTTCTTAGGGGTGCCTGGGTGGCTCAGTTGGCTAAGCGTCTGCATTTGGTTCAGGTCATGATCCTGGGGTCCTGGGATCGAGCCCCGCATTGAGCTCCCTGCTCAGCAGGGAGTCTGCTTCTCCCTCTCCCTCCGCTCCTCCCCCTGTTCGTGGTCTAATAAAAAAATAAAATCTTAAAAAAATGATAAAAATAAAGGGATACATGCACCCCAGTGTATATTTTAAAAAGTTTTTCTTTTTAATCTCCCTTCTATTATCTATATGTTAGGAACTAAATTAATGTTATGAACAATTGGGATGTTTAAAAAAATCTCTTCTGCACCCAGATCTACCTCTGGAACTGAACTTCCACGGAGCAAATGCTAATGGGAATTCAGAGCTCTAAGCCACATGCATTAGCAGCCAGCAAGCCACAAAACCAATGGGCTAGCTAGCAACTGCATCAACACGAATTTTCTCTCCACAAAACTCTTATACTCCTACCGATCAAAAAGCCCGCAGTGGGCTTAAATATCCACAAGGGGTCTTCACAGGGTCGGACATCTGACAATTCTTAGCACGGGGTAGGGACCAAGTGTGGTTCTATACCCTCTGACCAGACTGTCTGTGTGCCGAGCAGGGCACGGATTTCCAGCAAAGGTAACACTGGGCGACACTGCAGGACAAGCTGTTCTCAGGCAGGGAGAGGAGAAAACGCTGGTGAGGGTACAAAGAACAAAGCCAAGGCCTCCTGACCTCTGGCTTCATCCTTCAGTCGCTGAACAGATTCTAGGAGATTCTCCTTCTCATCAAGTTCGCTCTCCAGGAAGGCATTTCTTTCAATGGCTTGATTCAAACGCTGCTCAAAGTCTTCCAGAGACATGATTGTGGCCCTGGTAAGAGAAAAATAAAGCTGTCCAAGAGAGCAAACAGCAGCATCCATTTGGTGTCTACAAACCCGGGAGACAAGAAAGGCCAGACACAAGGGGGGCATGAGTCCCAGCATGGGCACTTCCTAGACACCACGGACCTGAACAAGCATCTTAACCTTCCAGGGCCCAGGCTCTTCGCCTGCAGAATGAGAATCGTCTTAGCTCTTGGGGTACACAAAACTGTTCTGGGGATTAAGTGAGAAATGTCCATATAGCACTTAGCAATGAGCCAGCGCCTTATTAGGATGACCCAGAGGACCCAGCCAAATGCCAAAAGCAGCAAATCTTCTCTTGGAGACTCAAAATGCAAATCAGTATTCAGAATATCCTACTAAAATCCATACAGAACTTATTATTGTACATTTAATCAGGGAGAAGAGACCATCTTTTCAGTTACCTTAAACAATTCAAAATGCCCAGCTGCCCTCCTAAAAACCACTTCCTCTTGTGACCAGTATAGACATTTCACTGGAATGCTATTAAGGCACTGAGAAGTGTGGTAATAAAGAAATGTGTCTAACTCTGAGGCACAAAACAGGAAGCTTGCCCAGACAGTTTCCTCACAAGCAATGCAGGGGTAATAACAGTACCTCCGCATGGTGGTGGGGGTGTCAAGGGGCAAATAATACACTAAGCCTCTAACAGATGTTTTGCATGTGAGTGCTCAATAAATGCCAGCAATTTTTATTACTGACCCTGTGTTTGTCCTACTAATTGTTATCTCATGGTGGTTAGAAGTTTATGTTTGGAGCAGAACCCAGGAGAACCTAGCTCTTCAGCATAAGACTACCTAAGCGTTCCTAGGAAGCTTAACCTCTCTTAACCACTGGTCCTGCAAAGTGAGGATCAATTCATGAATTCATCAATTCAATATATCCTGCTATGTCTAGACTGAATTATATTCGTACCCTCCCTCAAAGGGTCTTCAGAGAAAAATAAAGTTACCAAAAGTGCTTAAATAAAAACAAAGGAATAACATTCAGGAGTACAATACTGGAAACAGTTGAGATCACCCTAAAGGCTTGACATGTCAAACATACAAAAAAGATAAAATGCGTAGGAATTCATCTAACAACAAATAATGTAGGATTTTACCACAGGGCACGGAAGGCTTGTTGAAATGCAGACATACGGTGTTTGTGAAGAGGAAGACCCAACATCACAAAGAAATCCATTCTCCATAAGTTACCTCAGAGTTTAACAACATCCTAGTAAAAATATTAATAGCTTCTCGTTGGGGACAGTGGCACAGGGGTCTGATTTAAAAGATCATGTGAAGGGCGGCGCCTAGGTGGTTCAGTCAGTTAAGCATCTGCCTTTGGCTCAGGTCATGATCCCAGGGTCCTGGGATTGAGCCCCACATCGGGCTCCCTGCTCTGCGGGAAGCCTGCTTCTCCCTCTCCCACTCCCCCGCTTGTGTTCCCTCTCTCACTGTGTCTCTGTCAAATAAATAAAATCTTTTAAAAAATTTGTTTTAATAAAAGATCACGTGATAATAAAATAAGAATGTCCAGAATAACTCTGAAAAAGAGAGAAGTAGCTCCCCCAGATATAAAGAACACACTATTATAAAGCCTCAATGGTGAACAACAGTGTGGTGCAGCCTTCAACAGTTATAAGGACCGACCAGGGAGACCAGAGATGCAGAACTAGATCCAAATACAAAGGAGAACTTAATTTATGATAAAAGTGACATCGCAAATCACTGATGAAAAGATGGTTGATTCAGGGCACCCGGGTGGCTCAGTTGGTTAAGTGACTGCCTTCGGCTCAAGTCATTATCAGGCCCCGCATGGGGCTCTGTGCTTAGTGTGGAGTCCGCTTGAGACTCTCTCCTCCATCTCCATCTGCCCCTCCTGCCTGCTCTCTCTCGCAAATAAATCAATCAATCTTAAAAAAAAAAAAAAAACAAACCATGGAATTACCATATGACCCAGCAATCACACTGCTGGGCATATATTTAAAAGTGAAGGCAGGAGCTCAAAGAGGTATTTGTACATTTATGTTTATAGCAGCAGCACTCACAACAATCAAGAAGCAGGGGCGCCTGGGTGGCTCAGACGGTTAAGTGTCTGCCTTGGGCCCAGGTCATGATCCCCACATCGGGCTCCTGGTTCAGCGAGGAGCCTGCTTTTCCCTCTCCCTCTCCCTCTGCCTCTCTCCCTGCTCATGCTCTCTCTCTCTCTCAAATGAATAAATAAAATCTTTTAAAAAAATTTAAAAAAAAATCAAGAAGCAGAAGCAACCCAAATGTCCACGAACAGATAAATGGATAAAGATGTGGTATATACAGTTGACCCTTGAATAATGCGGGGGCTAGAGGTGCCGACCCCTCACGTAGTCCAAAATCTGCATGTAACTTTTGACTCCCAAAATTTAACTACGAATAGCCTACTATTGACCAAAAGCCTTATCAACAACATGAACAATTAGCACATATTTTGTATGCTATATATATTACACACTGTACAATAAAGTAAGCTAAAGAAAATGCTATTAAGGAAATTTATAAGAGAAAATACGTTCATAGTACTACACTGCATTTATTGAAATAAAAAAAAATTCCATGTGAGTGGACCCACGCAGTTCAAACCCGTGTCGAGTCAACTGTACATACACTTGAATATTATGCAGCCTTAAAAAAAAAAAAAAAAAAAGAGGAAATCTCGTTGCACACTACAACATGGGTGAATCTCAAAGACACTATGCTAAGAAAATATGCCAGGCACAGAGGACAAATACTGTATGATTCCACTCCTATAGAGTATCCAAAGTAGTGAAAATCAGAGAAAGCAAAAAGGGGATTACCAAGGGTCCGAGGGAGCATGGAGGAGGATTTAGTGTTTAGTGGGTGCCAAGTTTCAATGTTGCAGGATGCGAAAGGTCTAGAGAGCTGTTGCACAATAATGTGAACACACTTAATGCTACTCAGATGTACACTTAAAAATGGTTAAGATGGGGGCACCTGGGTGGCTCAGTCGGTTCAGCGTCTGCCTATGGCTCAGGTCATGATCCCAGGGTTGCGGGATTGAGCCCTGCAAAGGGTAGTGGGATTGAGCCCCGCATCAGGCTCCCTGCTCAGCGGGGAGCCTACTTCTCCCTCTCCCTCGGCTTGTGCTTGTGCGTACTCTCTCTCCCCTTCTCTGTCACATAAATAAATAAAACCTTTAAAAAATATTGGTTAAGATGGTGAATTTGATGTTGTGTGTTTTTATCACAAAAAGTTTTTTTTAACATCTATGTAACAGTACTACATAGAAGAGTGAAATGAAATAAAATCAATTTTAATCTTTGTACACCTTTTCTGTACCTTAGCATTCACAAAAAATAACCTTTAAGGAATGCATTTAATTTTTAGTTACTTCCAATGAGGCCCTGAGTCTTTCAAGGTTATCCCCTTCCTAAAAGTAAGTCATTTCATTTTACAGATACCGTGGAAGGACTTTAACGAGCAAATAGCTGGTAGGGCTGAGAAATTAACTCTTCTTAAAGTAGGGGGTCAAATTTTCCAAATATAACTATTAAAATTTTACAATAAAATTGTCATTTTTAATTTTTTTTAAAAATAAAACTTCAGTATTCCAGAACTTTATGCATTCTGTAATGATGATCTGGGCCTCGCCTCTACCTTATCTGATTTTTTTTTTTTTAAGATTTTATTTATTTATTTGACACAGAGAGGATACAGCGAGAGAGGGAACACAAGCAGGGCGAGTGGGAGAGGGAGAAGCAGGCTTCCCGCGGAGCAGGGAGCCCGATGCGGGGCTCGATTCCAGGACCCCGAGATCATGACCTGAGCCGAAGGCAGTCGCTTAACGACTGAGCCACCCAGGCGCCCCTCTACCTCATCTGATTTTAAGACCAAACAATTCAGTATTTGGCCAAAATGTGAATCCAATGCGCTTTTAATTTTAAAAAATGTAAAGCAATGTAAGAAAAAGAAGAAAAAGCAAGCATAGACTAACTGCTTTATAAACCTTAGACTGGGGCACCTGGGTGGCTCAGTTGGTTAAGCGACTGCCTTCGGCTCGGGTCATGATCCTGGAGTCCTGGGATCGAGTCCCGCATCGGGGTCCCTGGTCAGCAGGGGAGCCTGCTTCTCCCTCTGACCCTCTTCCCTCTCGTGCTCTCTCTCATTCTCTCTCAAATAAATAAAATCTTTAAAAAAAAATAAAAATAAACCTTAGACTGCACAATGCCCTCCCACCTGTGACTGATACATCTGACTATAGGGAAATCAAATAACTTTTGACAGTAACATATACAACAGACAAAGCTGGAAGACAAATCTAAATGCCAAATATTTTTGTGTCACAAATCTATAACAATCTCCTAGAAATGAAAAACAATAACCCAATTTAAAGACAGGCAAAGGGTGCCTGGGTGGCTCAGTTGGTTAAGTGACTGCCTTCGGCTCGGGTCATGATCCTGGAGTCCCGGGATCGAGTCCCGCATCAGGCTCCCTGCTCAGGAGGGAGTCTGCTTCTCCCTCTGACCCAACCCCCTCTCATGCTCTCTCTCTCTCAAATAAATAAATAAAATCTTAAAAAAAAAAAAAAAATAAAGGTCCAGGTCGAAAATGGCGGCGGCGTCTGTGTCTCAGCTGTCTGGGCTGCTAGGTCGGTCCGGGGCAGAGCTGGGGCGTTCCATGTCGAGTGGCGCCCACGGCGAGGAGGGCTCAGCTCGCATGTGGAAGGCTCTCACCTACTTCGTAGCGCTCCCTGGTGTGGGTGTGAGCATGCTGAATGTCTTTCTGAAGTCGCGTCACGGAGAGCACGAGAGACCCGAGTTCGTCGCCTACCCCCATCTCCGCATCAGGTCCAAGCCCTTTCCCTGGGGAGATGGTAATCATACTCTATTCCATAATTCTCACGTGAATCCACTTCCAACCGGCTATGAAGATGAATAGAGAGAACCTGGACCACCACCCAGTGGGGACCACAGCACTGGTTTGGACCATG